GTCCTCTGGGAACACCACTCGGGTAATATTTATAAGCAATGAAACACTTGTGTAGATAAATCTGACCAGAGATTGAGCTTCCACATTCAACTTGAGCTTTCTCTAATGCGTTTTTCACACAAACACTGCAATCTGAATCTCCGATGTCTCCTTCGCACTGTCCTAAAACGTAAATCGATTCGTAAGTCGTCGCGTAGAAACCGTGACCTGAAACGACGCCGTTTTGCATCACACCAAACGCCGTGTCTCTTCTCTCTTCGAACCCTGTTCCGGCGACGTTGGTCTTCGCACATGTCTTGAATAACATTTCCATACCTGAGAAAAAATTATTAAACCGGGATCAAACCAAAATATGAGTTCTCGGTTCGGTTTTATGTTCAACCGCAATCAAACCAGTTTAAAGTAGAGTTTCTCTGCTCCAATCAAACCGACATCGTGGGCTTGGTTTAATTTAAAACAAAAAAATTACAGTCGTTTTATTATTGAACCGGGTAAGCCTGATGCTTAATCCGGTTGATGTAAACCGGTTCACTAGATTAGTATAACTAAAATTGTAATGAATAATTGGAAAAATAATCAAAATTTATAAAATAGGCAACACATTTGTTATCATTAGAAGATATATAAAACTAAAGTTTAACCAGAGAAACCTGATGCTTACTCAATCCGGTTCTTAAACTCCGGTTCAATGTAAAACCAAAAAGATTGAGGATAAACCGGAAATGTGAGTAAAAATTACCTGAAATTTGAGCAAAGCCAGAGATTTCATAGAGAAGATAACATCCAGAAAGCTGAACCCTAGCTGCAATGGTTTTACCACAGAGCTTACCAGAGAGAACAGGAAGACGACTAACACAGTTGTAACAATCGTTGTTGCTTAAATCTCCTCTACACTGAAAAAGACCAGTGATTGTTGTTTGAGATGTTGTTCCTGTTGTGGTCTTGTAGAATCTTGATTTTGTTGATTGTGTGACCAATGAACCAAACATTGCAGAGAGAGACTGTGAGTATAAACCAGATGGATCTGAGAATTGTTGTCTTGCACAACCTTTGTAGATTAAGTTTGTGTATTCTGGTGATGATGAAGATTTTGCTAGCTTGAGATCTGAGAACAGAACCATGGAGATTATGATGATTGAAAAGAGCTTCAGTAAAAAACCCATTTTTTCTGTTTTTTTTTTTTGGTTTGAAAAATCAAATCATTGTTAGTGGGAAAGAGAGAGTTTGAGGTTTGTGTTTTGAGAGATTGAAAAAGATTGAATCTTTTTGTGGGGTTTTGTTGAATTTTTGAACTTTTTTGAGTTTTTGGGTTTTTGTAAAATTATGTGTTTGGTAGCTCAGTAAAAGAAAGGTCTTTAATTTTCTTCTTCTTCTAGGTTTCTGGTTTTGGTTTTAATGGTGAGAGAGAAAAAATTTCAATTTTGAGGCTTTGGGATGACCACAATCACTTTCCTCTCTCTAGATTAGGAGAGAGAAAGATAAAGAGCGCAATTTGTTTTCATTATTTTTTTTTTATATAAACATTCTTGAGCCACCGGTCTAAGATAGTACAAACAAGGAGTTTGGTGTGTTTGCAGACTTTTCAGTAAATCCGAATGATCATTATTGATTGTTAAGTTTCACTAATGAGTAACCATTTACTACCTAATTAAAAGTTGAGTCATGTTTACTAGTAATACATATAGAGTAATGTATAGTTTAAAGTTTCTATGTTTGCCACTTTAAGCTTAGTTTCTGTGTTTTGTAGTTGTAGATCATGTTTTGTTCAAGTTGTATATGTATATGATAGACCCATTTTTCTTATAATTCAATAAATTTTAGACAGAAAGTGACAAACATTCTTCAGAATTTTAAAGAAATCCATGGTTATATACACGAATATTCAATTCTGGTCTGCAATTTAAAAATGTGTACAATTTTGTAGATCTTATTCTTGGTCACTAAATTAACTAATAATGGAATTCCAAAAGGAATCTGAGATATTCGTAGGAGAAAGGAAATATTTTCCTTTTAATGAGTCTTGGTTGTATCAGATTTTATTGTCTTGTTATATGATGAAATCTTGCGGATAATTTGATTAAAAAAAATTACCCAGCAACCTAACCATTGTCTGGAACAGAGAGCAAGTAATACCAAAATCCGGTTTAATCCAATCGCTTTAGCTTCGATTTCTATCATTGGGCAACAGAGAGAACAAACATGGTACAGATTTTAAAGGTACAAAACAGAGATTTAGAAGAGCCTATTTAGAAAGAAAGAGAAAGTAAGAAAAAACTCAAGTGTGTGAGACTGTGATCGTTAAAATTCTTCGAAGCAACGAAGATCAGATCAGATCATCATAACTCTCTAACCCGCACCGTAGAAACTCTACCCATAGCTGCAAAAGGCAGTAAGATACAACAGACGTTGAGAGATTCCAAGGAGGGAGATGAATATGCAGAATTTGCTGACTGAGTTTATACGAACTCTTCACGAGTCTTGTGCAGAATCATCATCCGCGTTGGCTCTGTCTTCCCCAGGGAGACCAAATATACGAAGGTTACGGTCCCTCGAACCAACTGCAATGTATTTCGCATCTGGACCAAACTTCACACACGTCGCTCTACCTGATGAATACACAAGCATACGCATTAGTCAATAGGTGACTCATTAGTCTCTAGGTGACTATCGAAAGAGGTCATAATATGCATTAGGAAAAGCGATTTTACCAGTGCCTGAGAGATCTGGAAGTGTCTTGATAAGGTTCCACTCCGCTTTCACACTCGCTGTTTGATATACTCTGCATACAAAACACATACATTTTGTTAACACACATAACCCAAAATGCGGTTATTGTTTACAAGTCTCTTTTGAATATTTCTTTAGCTGAGCTTGGGCTCTATGACCAATTACTTCCACATATGCACTCACCTGATATCTGATGCAGCAATACCGAGATAAGATCCGCTCGGATCAAACTCCACTGCACAAACGAGTGTTTTTCAATCAGTTTATCTTACACACATGGAGATTTTTCTATCAACAAAACCACCAGAAGCGGATGCTGTAGTTGCATACCAGAGTTTGCATCTGCAGATGAAAATGTCTTGAAATTCCTCAACTTACGCAGGTCCCACAACCTAACACCATCCTCGGCAGCAGTCTGGTAATTTGCAGAATAGACACAAAAAAGCATTATTGTAAACAGAACATTACTTGTATTTTCCCTTCTCGTATTTTGGTCAAAGTACTCACCGCAAGGAAATAACCATTTTCAGAGAATGATATAGAGGTAACTTCCCCAGTGTGTCCATCAAACTTCGCCACATTTGCCTATTGTCCAGAG